ACTGGTTGTATTTGAAAACTGAATAGTTGAAGGAATAATAAGAAAATATTTCAAGATTCTGAATTTTTTCAATTATGAAAAAAAATTTGTAAGAAATCAATGATTCATTTTCTAAAATTAAAAAAAAAAGTTAAATGAACTTTAAGAAATGTTTTAATTAGTATTACGAGTTTTCATTTAAATTAGAAAAAAAAGGAACATTTCTGATACTGAAATGTTTTTACATTTTCACGCTTTTTGAAAAGGATGCTAAATAAATAAGGGTATATATCTAAACAATCATATGTATATAAATAGTTTATTTACAAAAAAGAATATTTACAATTTAAAATTTTTTAATGATGAAACATTTCTAGCTTTTGTATGCCGCAACCAGTTTTTTATAGATTTTTCAATATCATGGTCAGTTGCTTTATCTTGTATAGAAGGATTTCTCCTCACAGCACCTAAAAACAGAGCAATGGCATTAGAATAAGTTTTAGAAATGATTAAAATTAAATATTTATTAATGACATTCAAGAAAAATACCTATTCTCTTAACAGATTTTTTTACCCCTTCATTCTCAATTATACAATTATATGACTCAATATATTTATAATATATTGATAATATTACAATATATATATAATAATTGCCTGAAATAAATATATTTATATATATTGAACAGAATTCAACTCTAATATTAAAGGAATGATTTTGTGAGGAAAAAAGGAATTCTATGTTAAAACTTTCAATTCTACAGAGTGAAAAAAATTTATGTATTTAGACTTGTCAATCTGAACTGCAAAATCTAGGAAAAAGGGGCTATTTATATTAATAAGCCTTTTAGAGAGAAGAGGAAAATTAGTTCACATTAAGTGTGTTCACAAGAGAAAGATTAAGTGCATTGTGAGAATTCATACAAGAACTAAACGGTCCGCTTTTATTAGCAATAAGATAAAAAAAAAAGTATGAAAAATAATAAATATGTACCTATTATGAAATATAGGTAAGAAGCTGAAATCTAATTAAAATGTAATTAATATTCATAATACAAAGGAAATATGCCGCAATTATCATTTTCTTTTAAGGCAAGGCACTTACATAAAATATGATTCACAGACGCATAAAATAAAGAGGAATGATTCTGAGCCAAAAATATATTGAACTGTGAAGATTTAGCAGGATATTCATAAACATCAACACAGCTAAGAAATTTGGTGACTACAATATTTACACTACCATCTGATTTTTTAATAATATTTTTGATTAAACAAATAGATTTATCTTTTAATAAGCATACATTATTACGAAATGAAATCTTTAAAGAAAATTTTTCAAGCAGTAATTCTTCATATTGTAAGCCATGACAATTCATCAAAGTTATCCCATTAAAATGTTGTTTAATTAAACATATTTTATCCTCATACTTAGATAGTTCTTTGGTAACCTGATTGTTCACAAAACAAATTTTTTTGCTGCAAAGGTTTTTCTGCTTATGTTTTTAAACTCTTTCATATAATCTTCAAATTAAAAAGAGCTGAATTGATCTAAAGGGCCAAAGTTTTTCACATCTTTACAAAGATGGAGTAAGCAATGAATATTGTAAGACATGCGCTCTTTTCCATATAAAAATGGAAAACCTTTAACGAAACATAGCAGTCAAGAATGAGCGAAATTCATCATGGCAATATTAGAGTTAGTTATAAAAACCTTTATCGAACAATGTAATAGTAAAAAGTGCATGTACAGGTCATTTCGTAAGCTGCCTTTTAAAACTATTGACCCAGTGAAAAGCAAAAATTGTCTGAGTTCCGTAGCTTTCCAGCGTTCGAAATCTCTTAGCGCCCTTGGCCTTCTAACAAAATCATTACTAATGCTTGAAGTAAAACCCAAAAGTTTGACAGAGATTGCCTCTGACTGACTGTTTGAGAGTCGATATTTAACATCACATTTTAGCCATAATTTTATGAGCTTTTTCATAACCCCTAAACAAACAAGATGCATGTATTCGAATAGGACTTAAGATACAGGGAGAAACTTATCAATATTCAACAATTCAGAGTCACATTTATGATGGCTATCACCAGCAAGTCTGTTTCTGAAATCTGAATCAGTCCTTTCAACAAAATCTACTTCAGGACAACAAACTTTCTTTTTAAAATATAATCCTTCCTGAAAACATTTGTTGCAGCTGAAATAACCAGAATGGCCTTTAATGCACAATATAAAAGGTCGGGCATCGCAAATCATTCCCTTCAGATCAATTTTATAATGTTTCCCATCATCCACAATACCATTCTTAATTAATTTGTTCATTTCATCGACAAACTTGTTTAAAAACAGATTTGGATTTTCAGGTTTCTGATTTGAATTGAATATACCTATGGGGAAACACACAAGGTGCATTCAAGTTGTAACTTAATGATCCCAAAACTGGCCATAACTGACTACCTGAACTTTTCGCTAAAGGCAAACCATCAACGTTTACAAGTAGTTTTAGATCAGGATCTAATACATTTTTAGAGTTTATCTTAGATAAAATAAACATAATTCCTACTTCAATTCCAAAATGATGGTACACATCATTAGATATATTTTCTACTCTTACACATCGAGGTGTTTGAAGCAGCGCACGGGCATCTAAAGGCAAGTCTGAACCACAAGGATATTTCTTTAAAACTTTTAACAAATTCGTGATCGTAGATTGAGGCACATTTTCAGCAATAGCCCATACTGCCAAATAATTTTTTAAATTCGATGGGTGATCTTCTTGATTATCTTTATTGATGTTATTTAAAGTTGAATTTATTGAGGATGAACCTATTTCGATCGCGTCAGTTACATTAGAATTAAATGAAGGTAGTACACAAATAGATTTATTATTTATTTCAAGTGGTGTTGCTGGCGATTGAAATTCACTGACCGATTTTGAAGACTCAGACGGCCTAGCTACATCAGTATCATTCAATGATGCATTAATTTTCTTGTAAACTTTAGAATGAATACGTTTTTTAATTTTGGGCATACTTGCCAGTGAATGAAATGTTACACACAATAATTTGTAAGCTAACTGACATGGAAATTCGAATATCTAAGGGATGTCGCTAAGTTTTACATGAATGTCTGACTTATATCCAAGTTCATACATTTCAGAGATATGTAAAATGCAAATAGGAAAAATAAAAATGACAATATAAGCAATAGGAAGAAATCAAATATTTCAATACAAAAACTCTTACTTACTTCAACAATAAATGATTTTTATATCAAAAAAAGATTGTAGAATGAAAAGAAGACGCACGCTTAAACTGAATTCTGCGGTTTCGTATTTGGTATCCGGTTTCAATGTTTGCTGAGTACGATTAGAATTATAATTATCTAAGAATATTTAAAAATTAAAAATTCCGTTTTAATTCAGAATAAAAAATCTGCATCAGAAAAAGAAAATTATATCAGAGTTTAGAATTGTAAATAAAAGATTATCTAAATCCAAAAACTGAAATATCGAAAACTGGATCTGCTTCAGCTATTGAGTACAATTTGAAACGTCTCTTAAGCATTCTACAGACATCCAGTGATCAATGTCTTAAACTTATCCATATCAAATATCCAAAATGTCCATATCTAGGACTTTGATATGCCTGGATATCTCTATAATAACCAAATTACCCTATCCTCCAGATATCCAAAAATGACATCTCGGAGACGTCTAAAATATCCAATTCATGGACTTAGATGTGTTTAGATATCTGTAAGAAGTCTGGAACATATCCGAATATCCACTGGATATTTGGATAGGTAACAGACGTGTTTGGATATCGGTGGCTACCCACACAGCCACAAATATCCACAACACATCTTTGAAATATCTCTTGGATAAAGAAACTGGATATTGCCATATCCATCAGAGATCCCTGAGACGTCTGAATATCCAACAGAAATCCAGGGGTCGCATCTGTGTGATGTCTAGCAGATATTTGGATATTGATGTCTGCTGCACATCCAAGAGACATCCGACAGATATCTTTGGCCTATCATATTTATCCAAGGGATATCTTAAATTAAACATTGATATCTCTCCAACATCGTTCAGATGTCTGTTATATTTAGTTTCTGGATATCCCAAGGATATTCTTTTAGATATCTCAGAGACAACCCTGAATGTCTGAGAGATATATTTCATTTTTGTTTACTAAAGTATTTAAAAAATGCTTATTTACTAAATTTGTATTATTTATTATAAAACGATACAAATTTTTAATTGAGAATTTCTTATTAAATTGATTTATCTTATATTATGAGTATATTTAGATTGTATTTCACGTAAGTTTTGAGAATATTAATAGCAAAATGTAAGGATATATGTAAAATATACTCATAATATCTGATTAACTTTATTTGACAAATTATTTCAGAATTCTAATTTGAAATATTTGTATACTTTAAATAATTTTTTGCTTTGATTGCTGCCTTAAGAAATTTGTTAAAGTTGTAAATTTTATAAAATATTGAATTTAGTAAAATTTTATTAAAATACATTTTTTTCCAAGGTGATTGTAATATTCAGAAAGAGTGTTTTAAATTAGAAACGTAATTACAATTACGGCATAAAAATTGTTATTGGAAGAAAAGAACTGGTTGTATTTGAAAAATGAAGGTTGAAGGAATAATATGAAAATATTTCAAGATTCTGAATTTCTTGAATTATGAAAAAAAAATTTGTAAAACATCAATGATTCATTTTCTAAAATAAAAATAAAAAGTTAAATTAACTTTAAGAAAAGTTTAAATTATTATTATGAGTTTTAATTTAAATTAGAAAAAAAGGATCATTTCTGAAACTGAATTTTTTTTACATTTTCACGCTTATTGAAAAGAATGTTTAATAAATAAGGGTATAAATCGAAACAATCATATATAAATAGTTTATTTACAAAAAAATAATTTATTCACAAAAAAGTAAAATTTAAAATTTTTTAATGAAGAAACATTTCTTGCTTTTTGCATGCCGTTTTTCATACATTTTTCAATTTCATGGTCTGTTGCTATGTCTTGGATCGAAGGATTTCTCCTCACAGCACCTAAAAATAGAGCAATGGCATAGCATAAGTTTTAGAAATGATTGAAATTAAATATTTATTAATGACATTCAAGAAAACTACCTATTCTTTCCTTAACAGATTTTTTTACCCCTCAATTCTCCATCAGAAATTTTTTTTTCATAAAAATAGTCAAAATTTTAAATTTTGTTTCTGTAGTTTAGTTTGTTTACAGAAATGAGTTAAAGTAAAAAATGTGTAAAAAAGTTAAATGTGACTTTTTAAAATAGCATTTACTCTCAATAAATGTTAACTTTTTAATTGCATACAGAATGATATGATGCACTATTTTGCCACTATAAAGTACACATTAATCTTTTTTATAATCTGGTTAAAAGCAATAAGCTTGATTTGATTGATAAAAATAGAAGGAATTATGGAGGAGTCTACCAGAAAGAGCATAAAAATCCTTTTAATTTATGCTAAGAAGAAGAAAAAAAATTCTAAAATGTGTGCTGGTGAAAATAAAAAGACCAGTGGTTAATTTATTGGCATATTAGTTTAAACATTTTTGCTGTAACTGTTCTCCATATTTTTGCTTCTTAAAATTATCCAATCGTACTTTATCATTTAAGGATACAGTAATAATATTTATACAGCATGCATAATCAAATTTTTCAACAAAAAGTGAGCACTCAAAAAATATTTTTTATCACTTTCCAAAAAAATACAGACACATTTTTGAAAACTTAAACTAGTTTCGATTAAATATTGCAAAGAAAATCGTGAATATCACGTTTTTTTGTTTTTGTAATTTACCACAACAATCGCTACACTAAAAAATTTCTTTTTAAAAGATAGAAAATTAAGCACTTTTTACAAACCCACAATAAAATAAAAACACCTTAAATGGCTTTTAAAATATGAAAATAAAAAATAAGCACCTTTAAGCACTTTTTAAAAATGCTAGGCACCCTGTTATGTTAGAAAACGAAGGTAGATTTCATCACATTTTATTACATACCTTGCCTGCTTATATATATCAGATAATTATGTTTCAAATTTAAAAAGTTAAATTTTCTTCTTCTACAAATGCCATGAGTTAGACAATGAACAAAATAATTAAGCAAATTTTTATGAATTGATGTAAATAAGGGCACAATTTGAAAATCAAAAATAAGCACTTTTTAAAAATGCTAGGCACCCTGTTATGATAGGAAACGAAGGTAGATTTCATCACATTCTATATTACATACCTTGCTTGCTTATATATATCAGATAATTATGTTTCAAATTTAAAAAGTTAAATTTTTTTCTTCTACAAATGCCATGAGTCAGACAATGAACAAAATAATTAAACAAATTTTTGTGAATTGATGCATTGTAAATAAGGGCACATTATTTGAGTGATAGCTCATATGCTTTTGTAATTATGGTTAAATACTAACTCATAAAAAATTTTACTTAAGGAATACAATTTTTTCTTAAGAAAACAAATAGTAAAAAGTGACAGCTATTTTTTTCTTCTTAATTTTATGATTTTTTTTCTTCTCTTCACTTATTTTATAATTTTTTTATAAAATATGTGTGCATATGTACACATATATATATTTCTTTTTTATCACATTAAAATCAACTCATAAATAAAAATGTTTTATACTTCTTATGTCATTTTGATTTATTTAATCAAATCGGTAAATATATGAAATAAATGAAAATTTTGTTGGGAAAGATTTGTAAAATATACTATTTTTAACTTCCAAATTATTTTGTTTAGAAATGGGAGTTTTAACAGTGGTCTGGGGCTAGTATTGGGTCTGGTAACAGGTTTAGATAATATGAATAGGCTTTAACATTCCAAAATTGGTTAAGAACAATTGTATCAAATTGAATGAATGCATATTCAAACTTTACATCTAGATCTGGGCTAGATCCAGTGATGCACTGTAAAATTCTGAGTTAAAAAACTTCATAACAATAACAATATTGAACACTCAGGGTAACACAGGAAAAAACCAAAGGGGGGAAAAAAGTAAGAAAAGAGCAAGGAAGTAAATAATAAAATAGTGAAGTGTGCAGCACTCTGAGGTCGTATCTGAGAAGAACAAATTAGCAATTAAATAACAAAAATTATACATAGTTCATCACATCCTATTTAATTATATACAAACATCGTGTCTTAACTGGTGTATACATACCAGTTGAAATTTGCATTTGGACAAAAAAAAAATCTTTAAGTAATAAGTTATTACCATATTCACCCAAAAGTTTTGCTTCGTGGCAAATCCAATCTGGAGAAGGTTTAGTTAGCTTCATAACAAGTTTCATTACTTCATACGCTTTTAAGGGAGGCCACACACATCCCTTTGTTGACAACCAGGTCACTGGCAGAACTGCAACCTCATCAGTCAATAGAAACTTAACAATTGCAAAATTGTTCTGCATTATCTATATAAAGCAAAATTTAAAAATACTTTTGAACAGTTACATATTTCAGATATACACACGAAGACAGCAATTACAATTTCAAAAAAAAAAAAAAAAAAAAAAAAAAAAAAAAAAAAATTAAAAAAAAAAAAAAAANTAAAAGCTATATATACAATGATAATTCCTAACACTCAAGCAATCATTTCAGTGTGTATGGAAATATTGCTTAAGAATTATGATTTTTTTTAAAAACATACATAATATAATATAATGACCACCCCTGTGGTAGAATTTTTTCAAGCTATTTGCAACAAAACTGTCTGGCACTAATATCTTTCTGTAAGATAACTTCAATATAACAAACATATAAGTTAGTAATTTAAATATAACAAAAGAGCTGTGTTTCCAAAAAAAACTATAATTTTTTTAATTAAACATGTAATAATTTTTTATTCTAATATTATGGGTGTTATTTGCGCATTTTGTTGGAGGTAGGGGATGTCACACAAATTATTTCCTTCTTCGCATTTTGTAAATAATCACCACAATTTAAAAAAAATTATGTAATCCGTTATCGAAAAAAATAAACGAAGATTAACAATGAAATCATGCGAATTGGACTCCTCAAAAAGGGGTTACTCAAATGCGTAATAAATAATTTTAATATCGTATAAAAATATTTGATATAAAAACTATTGAGAGATCAATAGCTGCCAACAATTAGACAGAATCATTGCCTTAAAAGTAAATACTCAAATGCAAGATTCGAATTTTCCATATAGTGTGAAATAAATAGAGATACTATTTAAAAACCAGGTGAAAATCAATAGTTGTTGAAAATACAATAGAAACTTTACATTGATTTATGATACTACCGGTGTAAATTGAGCGTGTCAAAAAGTGATTATCTAAATGCATGGTTCAAATATTACGTGTAAATTTCTGTAGAAAAGAAAACTAAATTTAGTAGTATTTACTTTTTAAAAGAAAAATCTTTTTGCAAGAACCCTAACTTTCTGTGACAATGTCGCTGTGATTCGGCAATGGGGATGACCACAATAATAAAAAATTATTAACAATTTCAGCAGCCAATATTACATATACAATATACACAAATAAAATAATGATGTATTAATATCATCAACCTGACAAATGGCTAATGTATTCAAAATTAAAAATTTGGCTCAGCAATTTGTAAGTGGGCAAACAAAATAGAAGAATCGTATATATTTCTATATTTTGAACAGAATTCAACGCTAATATTAAAGGAATGATTTTGTGAGGAAAACAGGAATTCCTTGTTAAAACTTTCAATTCTACTAAGTGGAAAAAATTAATGTATTTAGACTTGTCAATCTGAACTGCAAAGTCTAGGAAAAGGGGGCTGTTGATATTAATAAGACTTTTAGCGAGAAGAGAAAAATTAGTTCACATTAAGCGTGTTCACCTGAGGAAGATTAAGTACATTGTGAAAATTTATAGAAGAACGAAACGATCCGTTTTTATTAGCAATAAGATATAAAAAGTATGAAAAATAATAAATATGTATTATGTAATATAGGTAAGAAGCTAAAAACTAATTAAAATGTAATTAATATTTATAATACAAAGGAAATATGTTGTAATTATTATTTTCTTTTAAGGAAAGGCATTTACATAAAATATGGTTGACAGACGCATAAAATAAAGAGGAATGATTCTGAGCCAAAAATATGAGAATATCCCCATACAGGGAAATTTCAAAGATATGTAAAATGCATATAGGTGAAACAAAAATGACAATATAACCAATAAGAAGAAAACAAATATTTCAATAAAAAAAAAACTCTTACTTACTTCAACAATAAATGATTTTTATATCAAGGTTGTAAAATGAAATGAAGACGCTCGCTCAAAATGAATTCTGCGGTTTCGTATTTGGTATCAGGTTTCTGTTTTGGTTGAGTACGGTTAGAATTATAATTATCTAAGAATATTTAAAAATTCAAAATTCCGTTTTAATTCAGAATAAAAAAATCTGCATCAGAGTTTAGAATTGTAAATAAAAGAATATCAATATCCAAAAACTGAAATCTCTGAGATGTCGAAAACTGGATATGCGTCAGCTATTGAGTATGATTTGAAACATCTCTTAGGCATTCTACA